TTTGACAGGGATGATGGCCCTGGCAGGTGCGCAACCGTTGTTGCAGAAGTTCGAAAAAGTTGCTCGCAAAAGCCCGTTTGACAGAAATGTTTAAAAAGTGTTGGGTTTCCTACGAATCCGCAAGAGCGCGCGGGATGACATTTTGACATTTTGTTTGAAAACCATTGGTTTTTTTGATGTTTTTATGTTAAAATCGCTACGAAAACTAAGGTTTTGGAAGGATTTCGTCTTGCGCGCGCGAATGTCAACTTTACCTTATTTGTTGCAAGGGACTCTTGAAATTTGGATATGTTAGAACAAGAAATGTCCACTGTAGCTTATTTTTTGCAAAAAGGAAACCGATCGTAACAACACAACCGGATCCGGACCAACCCGTTTTGCCTGAGACTTCCTCACGAAAATTATGAAAACGCGGCTGCGGCCTAGGCGCGGCGGGGGGGTCGTGCACCAGGGGCCCCAACAATAATTATTCTTTAGAAGTAATAATGTTCAACAACAACAAAGGCCCACGCTCGCTTGGGACCCCCCTCGCGGCAAGGCGATCCGCCGCTGCACTGGCTCTGGGCGCCGCAGGGCGGGGGGGGGGAGTTACAAGCAATGCGAGGCATGCCCTCCAGAACCCCTGAATTGCCTCGAGCGCTCACATCGACGACTTCAAGCACAGGAAGGGGGGATTGGCGAGAACGATGGAGGGAGCAGTGGGGGCTTGAAAGAGGCAAGTGATGGCGGCCTCTGGGCAAAGCTCTGGTAGTCTTGCCCTCTGAACACATCCCGCATGCCTCGCGCGCTGCTCTTGCTCATCGCTTCGAGACGCACGGCGACGGGCAGCACTTTTCCGGAGTAGGGGGCGCAGCGGGCATCGCGCGCGGGTCAGTGGCCTCGGCCCCCAGGGCCCTACAAAACGACTAAGGAGGACGGGGGTCTCGGGCCTCGGGGGGGCCGGCACCCGCTTCGAATTGACCCGGTATTGGGCTGGGTCTCTACCTGCATCCACTCCAGAGTCATCCAGGGCGCTGGTCTAAATGGCGCTGTTGGGGCCCATCACGTCTCACTTGCGAAGCCCCCCAGCGCGCTCGTAGTCGGCAGTAGTCTGCGCGGTCTGGCCCTAGGTGGCGCGGCCCACCTCGCCCCCCCCCCCCCCCCCCCCCAGGATTTCTGAGAAGGCGCTGGCATATCCAGACAAGTGCTGCCCTCGAGGCGGCCGCGTCAGTTTCTACGATGGCGCTGCTCGCCACCCAAGCAAGACCGGCTAACTCTTCGGCCTCGTACCCAAGGCCGTCGCAAGTGAAAGCGGCTGGGTGGCGGCGAGGCGGCATAATGCGACCGGCCTGCTGCAGCTGGCCCCGCTGGGCTCACTGGTGCACTCGAAGAGGTAGGCTGCAACGCTGACGGCGGCGCGCTGCCAGACTTTGAGTTCAAGTATCATTGATGTTGGCGAGAAGCAATCAAACCCGATGCTGTTCGTCCCAAAACCGTCAGATGCTGTCTGAAATGGCAACAGACTTCCAACAATAATTAGTCGAAGGCTCGGTCGGGCATCTCCGCTGGTCCGGGTAGCATCCCCTCTCGAGCGTTTGTCACTGGATGCGTGGGAGCCAGGAGCTGCGACGGCATCGCTGGGACTTCCTCCGTTTGCGAACGCTCGAAGCTACTTCCCACCCTGCGTCGAACAAAATATCGACCCACGTGCGTGCCAATCCTGGCCGGCCGTCGCTGGCCCAACTGGTGCAAGGGGTCCCTCCACTGGAGTCAGGGTGGCGCATAGATCCACAACTGTCGGTGCCACTGCCCCTGGTGTCGGGGCCCCTCGCGCTGGAGTTGGCTACGGGCTGTGCATGATGAGCCCGCTGAGCTTCGCATCCTTCATGAGATCCTCCGACGGCAGCACCGCCTGGCGCTCGGCCTTCGGGTGCTTGAGCGATGCCCCCCCCCCCCCCCCCTCTTTGGAGGGGGGGGGCCCGCTGGGCCGCACTGGAAGTTGCTTCTGAATCGACAATGGCACTGGGGACGACCATCTGCCTTCGGCCTTGTTCATCCGCATCTGCGGCTGCATCTGCCGACGCATGAGGAAGCCCATCGTTGTCTGGATGTCTGCCGCCAAAAACTGGCTCTGAGCAGACATGCGAGGGGCCCAAGAACTGCGGCGCCAATGGCGGCACTGGATTCCACCCGAATGGCGAAGGCTGCTGCTGGACTTGCTGCTGCTGACGCGGTGCTGCCTCCGCCAGTGCTGGCCTGGGCGCTGCCCATGGCGAGGAAACGCTCGACGGCTGCGGAGGTGGGGAGGGGGCCCCCGCCGCTGCCGCCTTTGCTGCGCGACGACCGGTCTCCTCCTGCTCCTGCATCTGGAGCTCCTCCAACGTCGCACTGAGGTTCGTCAGCCGGTGCAAGGTCTCTCGATGGGACCTCGCATTCTCGATGCGCTCCTCGGCCTTGGTGACATCCTGCTTGACGCTGTTCATTGCCAGGGTCATGGATTTCACTCTCACACCAATCGGCTGCATACTCTCTACTGCATATCGGTGCACGCTCAACTCCTCAAATGAATCCTCGCTCTTCGCACCACTTCGGCGCGTAGCCAGAATCAGAGACGCCAGGATCTCCATCTGGTTGACCAGGTCCGCCTTGAAGACCTGCTGCTGCGCTGGTGTGGTGGGCGGTTTGAGGAAATTTGAGTGCGCCTCCGCTGCCTGCCTCGCAGCTGGCGGAGTGCCCTCGATCAAATTCTTGATCTCCAAAGAGGTTATGGGGCCCTGTCTTCCTTTCTGCGGCCTCTGACGATTGAGTAACTCGTTGACTGGTACCTTCTTGGCGGGCTGCTGCCAGGCCTTGACTGACTGCGGCGTCGATCCCGCTTGGCTGAGGGTGGACGCCACTTCAAGCCACACAAGCAGTGCCAATGACGATATGGCACCTGGCGGGAGCAACCCTTGCTTGCCATGTGTCCATAAAGAAGGGCTGGGTAATCGGTAGTAATGAGACTGGTGGCTCGATGCGTATGTTTATACATACATATAAAAACGGGGCGAAGAAGCCGTCTGGAGCGAGGCCGTGGTGCCGACCTACTCCTGCAGCTGGATGGGTCTCTCACAACACCTCGAAGAAATGGCTTAGTTGTGCGAAAATGGCTATGGATTTCCTCCTCCTCGCCCCCCTCCCCCTCTTTTTCCTTCGCCTCTCCCTCCTCCTCCTCCATCCTCCTCAACTTCATCTGACTAGCATTAAGAATAGTACTGTTGTTGTTATTGTTGTTACTACTAGTGAATTGATAAAGCTTAGTAACAATAGTATGGTTGCCATCGCTAGTGTTACTAATGTTAATTCGCCGGCCCAACGGGCCAGAGGCGTGCTAAGATCCCCGGCAACTGGTTAACAGTATTTCTAGCTCGCGCGCGCGCGAGGCGGCCCCTGGGGGGGTCCCCGGACGAAAAGTACCCCGGCAAACGGTCCGACCCAGAGATGGTTTTCCTTCTGGGCGCCGCCCTCGAGGCCCCCCAGAGAGCCCCAAGAAGGGCTGCGAGAGCCCCCCAGAGAGCCCACCAAGATGGTTCAAGAGTGCTCCGAGACACGCTCGCTTCAAGACGCCCAAGACGGCTCCCAGACGCCGCAAAAGGCCCCAAGAGGCGACCCAAGACGGCCCCAAGAGGCAAAAATCGTCTGATTCTCGAGGCAACACGTATGCTTTTAGCAGATACGCCATTTAAGCTTGCACAACCTCAAAAGCAGCCCGAGGCCCCCTAAAATCGCCCCAACACGGCCCAAGAGGCCCCCAAGAGGGCCCAAAAACCGCCCCAGAGGGCCCCAAGACAACCCAAGAGGCCTCCAAGACAGCCCAGGGGGCCCCAAGACGGCTCCAAGAGAAGGTCCACACGGGAGACCCGCACGGATAGTTCAAGCCCTCAGCCCCGAGAGGCCCCCAGGAGCGCCCAAGAGGCCCCCGAATGGCTCCCAAGAAGTCCAAGAGGCCCCCAAGAGGCCCTAAGATGCCCCCACGAGACCCCTCAGGAGGCCCCCAAGAGGCCCCCAAGCGGCCCCAGGCGGCCCCCCAAATGCCCCCCCAAGCACGCAAGCGAGTGCCAGCGATGCTACAATATGGGCCGGCGGAATGAGCGAAGCGATTGAATAAAGATACTACTAATAATAAAAATACGAATAATAATACTCAATATCTTATTGTTATTCCTCCTCGTCCTCCGCATCGTCCTCATCATTTCCCTCCTCCTTCTTATTCTCATCCACCACCGTCAACACAGCCGAGGGGGGAGGGCCGGCTTGAGATCAGGCTACTGGTCAAGGGGAACGCGATAGTCCACGTCAGCACCCATCTGGGCAGGCCAGAGCCTTGTCGCGAAGCCTGGCCGGCCGGTTAGCAGCTCCCAAACCAAAGCCAGCGGAGGGCGGAACTTGGGAATCTGCCCTGCGTGGCTTCCAAACCAGGGCCAGCCAAAAAAGATTGGCTGACCCCTGTTAGCGCTGACCCCCGTTCCGTGAGCCCCGAACAATTGGGGGCGCACTGATCTTGCTCAGTGCAAACCTGGGGCAGTCGGGCCTTGCAAGATCCTTCAAGATCCTGAAGGATCCTGCAGGATAAACGACCTGGCTCTGCAGGATCCTGCGAGATCCAGCGCTCTTTACTGACCCCCGTTTACATAGATCCCCGTCTTTTGACCCCCGAATCAAGCGCACACTCGGGCCGCCGGGTATCGCGGTCCCAGTGGCGCAAATGTACATCGAGTGGGGAAACCAAAAAGTACCGATACCGCTACCCCCCTCCAGGAGACCCAAAAGGGCGAAAACGAGAAAAAGGTAGCGAGAGGAGACGGGGACACCCCTCAACCTAGGCTGTGCGTCGGGCACCGAAGCGGGCATCAGCAGAGCGTTACCAGTGGCCGACAACCGAAAGACTCCTCCTCCTCCTCCTCCTCCTCCTCCTCCTCCTCCTCCTCCTCCTCCTCCTCCTCCTCCTCCTCCTTCTCCTCCTCCTCCTCGTCCAGCGGAACCTTCTGCGCACTCTTCTGGGAGGTCTGGAAGTCCCGCAACGCCTCGCAGCAAGCTGCGGGGGTGGCGCGCCTAGATCTTGGCCCAGCTTCCCCCCGGGAGGGAGGAGGGTAAAGAGGGCAGCGAGCGGACAGGAGCGCCAGTGAGGAGAGGCTGCGTTCCACAATAAGCGCCAAGGGGACGCAACCCCCGCCGACATCACCGAATCGCCTCCCGTCATTGGCAAGCATCGCGCGCCGAAGACGGCCCGATCCCCGGCAAGGCAAAACTGACCCCCACGCTTACGAGGGGACGCAGTGTAGTGGAGGGGAGTGCAGAAGTGAGGAGTCCTGTCAACCAGCCTCGAGCTCGCCCCCACCCTCAAGGCAACGACGATCTGAAGAATGCGCCCTCGGAAACCCCTGGAGGCGTTCTGGGATCGGCACCGAAGGTGGTGCCGATCACAAGGAAGGGCGGCCAGACTGCAAGCCCTGCAACCGCCGCGTGCTGTCGGCAGTCTGCGCTGCCCGGCCGGGCGGAGGTAGGAATTGACTACCTACCAGACCACCCCAACCCAACCCGAAGACCCGAATTTCGGGTTGGGGGGGGTAAGGGTTCCACATGTGTTTTTGTCTATGTTTCCCGACCCCCCCCCCACTGGAAATCGAGGATAAATTTGGGCCTTCGGGTTGGGTTGGGGTGGTTTGGTGGATGGTGAGGAATGAGGAAGGAGGAGCAAGCAGACGGCGACAGACGTGCGGGCGGGAGGCCATGTTCGGCGGGACTGGACAGGCAGGACTGCGGAGAGGGAGGAGGGACCGTGGGGGGAAACAGCAGGCAAGGAGCAGGGGCGAAGGGGGCAGGGGAGGAAGAACGAGGGGAAGGAGAAGGAAAATTGGGAAACAACCGCAAGCAGCCAACGGGCCAGGCCAGAGGCCGATAGAGAGAGAGAGAGAGAGCGGCCGCCAGCCCAGCGCCAAGAACACGGCCAACACGGCGGCGACGCCGACCAGGCGGCAGCGCAGGCGGAAGGCTGGAGCGGGTGGCCGCCGGAGTTGACGTGGCGGGATCGTCGGGGTCGTCGGGGCGGCTGGAGCCGTCGGAGCTGTCGGGGTCGACGCGGGGGGAGATGGTGGGCTGGTGCTGGGGCTGGCTGCCGCGTGCTGGGGCTGGCTGCTGCGTGCTGGTGGGCTGGTGCTGGGGCTGGATGCCAGGGACCCACGCCTCGCGCCTCGCCAGGAGCCCGCCCGCCGCTGGCCCGGGGGAGAGGGACCTGCCGCGCTGTGGCTTGCTCAATAAGGGGCCTGTCGGGCAATGCCTTCCGCCCCACCCGATCCTGGCCCCTTGTGCCCCCTCTGGGTGAAGGGCATCCGTGCTGCGAGGCTTGAGCGTCGCTCAATAGGGTGGCGATGAGTGGAGGGGAGGGGGGAGAAAGGTGCACTTCCTCGGGCCCTACAGGTTCCCCTTTGGGCGCTGGAGGGCCCCTTTTGCATGACCTATTGAAGGTCCTAAAGGGCCCCTAGGAGGGGGCCGACTGAGGACAAGTACTGGGCGAACGAAGGGAGCCGGGGAGGAGCAAGAGGAGCATCGTCACACAAGGCAAGGGGACATCGGGAGGGAGGGTAGACGGGCGGGGCTGGAGAAGGTGTTGGGGGGGGATTACAGACGGGGGACGGAGGACAGGGGGCTGGCGACCGGAACTGAGGACAGGGCTCAAGACTGAGTCACGAGACGGGGAGAGGGGGGCAGGGGAGCAGTGAGGTGGGCGAATGGGGGACGGGGAGGGGGTGCTATGGGAAACTGCACACACGAGACGCCAAGGCGGTCGGAGCGGCAGGAAAATCGCACAATCCAGGGAGAGAGGTGATGTTGAGCCGAAACGGCGCGATCAACACTAACAAGCCTACGAATATGCCGGATACGGCGAGGGGGAGGGGAGGGCAAGATAGGCAGGGAGAGATAATGAGGGGAGTAGTGGGGGCAGCGAGACAGGAGCGGGAACGGGAGAAGGAGACGGGAAGCGTCGTGTGTTCATAGGCGGCCACGGGCTTGAGCGTTACAGCCAGCGACAGGGTGCCTTGCACCCGCATCGGCACGGAGGATCAGCAAGAGGGCGACAAGGAACAAGGGAATTGACAACAGGGGAACAGGCAGAGGAATCGATTGTGTAAGATGGAGGACAGGGAGGAGGAGGAGGAGGAGGAGGAGGAGGAGGAGGAGGAGGGAGCGCGGGGCGGTGGCTGCCCCAAGAGGCCTTCAGGTCGTCCTCGCTGTCGTCGTCGGCCTCGTCATCGTCGCTGTCCTGTGGCTCGCTCGCGGCACACCGGAGATCCTCCACATGCTCATTCATCCTCCACCTCCTAATCCCCCTCCTGCTAATCCTCCTCATGATCCTCCTTTTCCTCCTCATGATCCTCCTGCTTCCCTCCTCCTCCTCCTCCTCATCCTCCTCCTGCTCACCCTCCTCCTCGTCCTCCGCTCTTCCTCCCCCCACTCCTCCACCCACCCCCCCTTTCATCTCCTTCTCCTCCGCATGAGCGACCAGCAGCAGCCTCCCCGATGGCAAGTGCCAGGTAGAGAGGAGCCTCTGGCTCTTATCACGGCTGAGTGAAAATATGTCGGAAATACTCTCGTGAGGCAAGCTTGGGGTTGGACGATTTTCACCCAAGGTGGATCTTGGACCTGCCACTTGATCATAAGTTGCGCTTTGTTGACATCCTAAGCTGGTTTGACAACCAGCCTCAGGATGCTGCTCTTCCTAACCAACATGGTGTTATCGACAAGCCCTGCATATGCCTTGAACTCCAAACTCTCCCCTACTGGCCGAAGCTCAATATAAAATGATGTACACTTCGTGGCCCCGTTCGGCCACCCCGTAACGTTGGCGAGGTGGTGGCTAGGAGGTGTCGGTCGGGCATCACTGGGTCTGAGGACGCACCTTCTGGCGTTGTGAGAAGTGCATGAGATTTGCAGGCTGGCGACGCGTCCCAGCAGCGACGGATGCGCCAATAACCTTCCTTCAGTCGCTCGCACAGCAAAAGGTAAAGAATATTTCAGTCTCTGGAATATTCTAACAATTCTAACGGTTCTCTGATGATTCCCAGGCCAATTCAAGAAACTCCGCTCTGAATGCACACGTCGTCGGGCTGCCAAGCCTTGGGAATACTGGTCAAGGGTCAAGCGAGGCACCCGACCGAAAGAGCCAACTATTGAGGTGTGGGCCACCCAAATCCGAGAGTAACCCTGGATTGCACAGCGGTCGTCGCAAAACCTCCGCCTCCGTCCTCCACTCGCCCCCCCTTCCATCCCTCCTTCCTTCCCCATG